CACCTCCTCAGTGTGGCATTCTCTGAAGAAAGTATTCACAACAAGAATATCCATCCAAAGTCAGCCCCTCCTACCTCTGGACTCTATTTCCATTCGTGGCATTTATCAATTTCTAGCATCCTAGGTAATTAATTTATTCACTGGGTAAGAGCCTGTCTTCTTTCAACGGAATGGAAGACCCAGGGGGGACAGGCATTTTTATTTTGTTGGTAGATATATCCCCAGTGGCTAGAGCGGTTTCTGGCACACAGTAGATACTAAAAATATAGATAGATAGATAGATAGATAGATAGATAGATAGATAGATAGACAGACAGACGAGTGGATGGCTGGATGGATGGGTGATGGATGGATGGAGAGAGATGAGTGGGTGGATGGATAGATGGATAGATAATTTGTTGAGTGAATGAATCACCTCTATAATTCTCACTATAGCCTTATGACGGAAGTATTTGTTTTGTCTGTACTTCACCAATGAAGAAATTAAGTCTTAAGGCACCAGTGGTTTTCAAACATTAAATATTGTATTCCTGGGGCCAAAACTGATCTGGTGAATCTGCTTAGGCTCCATCATCACCATCATCATCCTTGTGGCTCTTATATGGCCCTTCTCCTGGGTCAGACACTGTTCTGGGTACTTTAAACGGCACCACACTCCTAAGAGGCGGGGGCCATTCCCAGGATCATCCCCATTTTACACGTAGGAAAAACTAAGGTACGAGAGCTGATGTAGTCCGACCAGAGTCACACAACTGTTACGGCTTAGCCAGGGGCCAAGTTACGAAAGTCTAGCTCCTCTATGGACACCTTTAATCGCAGTGTTTTTCAGCTGTCTCTAAAGGGGACGGTCTATACTAGGGGTAGCGTAATCAATCCCATTTATCCTGACCAGCATGTTTTTAATGAGATAAAATAGGATAGACTGGAATATAATTTTTAAAGACAGCAGTGTGAACTGCTATGGAGGATTTCATGCCTGAGGACCCCACCCTTTCCGCCCCATAAGCGGGCAGACACAGGGGGGCCAAATCGCTGGCCCCGGGGGGCCACTCAGCAGAAGCCGGTGAGGTCAAGGCTGGAACCTGGGCCTGCGCGGAGCAAGCCGGGAAGCCAGGAAAGCCAGGGGCTTTCTGATCGCCTGCCACACCAGCGCTGCTAGGGTCCAAGACAAGGTCGCACCAGGCTGCGCAGAACCAGTGACACTCGTGGACTGCCATGGGGACACCTTTATGTCCCCGGCCCTCCTGCCCACCGAGCCGGGCCCTGGAGGTGAGGGGGCAGCAACATATCACACTCCTTCTTGCTCCACAAAATGTCATGCCCTGCACTTCCAGGAGCGGGTGTGCAAGGGGTTTTCCTGGGGACAGGGGCCTAAAACTGCATTTCCTGGGGGGAAGGGACTGAGGACCCCAACCCGGCCTCCCCCCACCCAGGCTCTCAGCACCCCCGCACTGGAATCTTATTTTCCCCTATTTTTTAAGGGAAAGGCTTTGTTTGAGCAGATTTTATCCTTCTTTCTGTGAGGCCACAGCGCCCCCAAGTGGTCAACACGGTCGTTTGAGAAAAGAGGGCGGGTGTATCTGACTGCATGTCCTTGGAGGTAACTGCAGAACGTAATTCTATGTACCGCCGTTTACATTTGGCCTCTTTCCTTTTTATCTTTCTTGGAAATAAGACTTCTTGGTGATTTCTCTAATTACACTTAGAACTAACATTCATCTCTGTCGCTTCCCTCTGCATACCCCTGTCCTTCCCATTTCCTCGAGACTCCTGCCGCGCTCAGGTTCACGTGATCGAATCCGACGCTAATTCAGGTGTTTCTGTGCAGACACCCGGTGGAGGTGGCTGCCATCTGCAGTCGGCACCCTCTGTGCGTGTCTGCCTCTGCGTACAAGTGTCCCCTTCTTACAAGGACGCCCGTCATGTTTGATGAAGGCCCTGCCCTAAGGACCTCATTTGAACTTGATTACCTCTGTTAAGGATAAAGACCCCGTGTCCCACTAAGGTCACATTCTGAGATACTGGGGGTTCGGACTTCCATGCATCTTTCTTTTCTTGGAGGAGTAGGCACAATTCAGCCCGTAACAGTTCAATATCGCTTTCTAAAGAAAACAGCTTTAAAAATCATATTTAAAGGAAAAGAATGTGTGGGCTGTTTCCATTGTCCATTCTTTGAAGAAAATGTCCCCTTTCGTGATTTCAGCAAGGATGCACAAGGGTCCTCAAACACTTCCACATGAAGCTAATATATCACTGTAGTGAAAGCATCACTGTCTTCCATCAGAGAAAAAAAAACACAACATTCCTCTTGGCATAAATTCAGACCATTTCTGCTTTTTGGTAAAATAGCACTTGCTGTTGTTTTCTATAAAAAAAAATGAGGCGAATTTTAATGACGAACTTTAATTCGGGACTTCTGCTTCTGGCCAAGATGGAGTAATAGGGACCGGATTTCCTCTCTCTGAAACAGCCATAAAAGGGGCAAAACACAGTGGTTTTTAAGACAGTGGACATCAGGCTACAGAGGATAGTGATTACTGGTATGTGTGGGAAATGAACAAGGTGAGCCCTACAATTGCCCCAACTTACTGTCTTCAGAGAGTTTCCAGGTCATGGTGCAGGGGAGGAATCAGGCAGAGACTTGTAGACCCTGTGAGTTGAAGAGATGGAGCTGTGTGTCCAGGAGGACCATGGGGCCAGAGTTTATGGGAAAGAGTACTCAATAGAAGAGAGCAGCAGAGAGAGAGAAGTCGGGATATCCATGGAGGACCCTCCATGAGCACTTAGCGGAGCAATGATCTGAGGCTCAGGAAAGGACCACCCAAAAGGATTGGAGTAAACAGTACCCGGCATTCACACTAGGCAGGGACACATATTAACCTAAACGCAGACTCTTCCAGCTTTAAAAGAAGAAAAAGCACAACAGTGATTCTCAACTATCCTCAGGAAATGTTCTTAGTATGGCCCACCAGAAACTGAATTATCTTCATCTTCAGCCTCATCTCTTGGCCCTGCCTCAGTGGCCACTAAGCTACTGTGTAACAAATAGCCCCTCCATTCAGTGGCTTGTTCCTGGATTCCTCCTATTAAAGCCCTGAACCACCCTCTAAGAATTTCTCCTATTCTGTGCCCACTATGCGGTGAGGAAGCCCAAGCTAGCCACATGGAGAGGTCTGGCCAGCCCCAAAAGACACCACACAGACAAAAACCCAGGCCCCAGATGGATAGCCCTAAATGAGCCAGCCCAGCCATCTCCAGCTGTGTGGGCCACCTCAGATGAAGTCCCACCGTGGAGCAGAGGGGAAGCCTCCCTGCTGTGCCCTGACTTTCTTTTTTTTTTTAAATAATTTTTTATTGTTATGTTAATCACCATACATTACATCATTAGTTTTTGATGTAGTGTTCCATGATTCATTGTTTGTGCATAACACCCAGTGCTCCACGCAGAACGTGCCCTCTTTAATACCCATCACCAGGCTAACCCATCCCCCCACCCCCCTCCCCTCTAGAACCCTGTTTTTCAGAGTCCATCGTCTCTCATGGTTCGTCTCCCCCTCTGACTTACTCCCCTTCATTCTTCCCCTCCTGCTATCTTCTTCTTTTTCTTTTTTCTTAAAATATGTTGCATTATTTGTTTCAGAAGTACAGATCTGTGATTCAACAGTCTTGCACAATTCACAGCGCTCACCATAGCACATACCCTCCCCAATGTCTATCACCCAGCCACCCCATCCCTCCCACCCCCCACCACTCCAGCAACCCTCAGTTTGTTTCCTGAGATTAAGAATTCCTCATATCAGCCTGCCTGACTTTCTAAACCACAGAATAATGAAATGAGCATAGTCAAATGTTTTTCCTCATGATATACATGTATCTGAATAATTCCTGCCAGCTTTTTAGTGGTAAAAAGAAAAAAAAAACACTTCTGCAGACTTCTGAGCTCTCAACATGGTTTATAAGGAATATGCAAGAGGTATTTTTTAAATCTTCAAATATAAAACTAAACCAGAAAAAAAAAAAGCCCTCAGTGGCTTAAAACCACAATCCTTTATTCTTGAACCCACAGGTCGGTGTATTAACCTGAGAGGCTCTGCTCCATGAGTTGCAGGCTGGAAAGGACACTGGGCTGTTCTTACCATGGCAAGGCCAGAAGCTTCCAGAAGGATAAGGGAAAACATGCAATGCCTCTTGAGGTCTACGTATAAGATGAAAATATGAAGTGTAAAGAAAGTGTGTGTGATGGTCTGATGGGCAGCCCTGGGGGCCCATAAAATAATGTGGCACCTCCCAATCAATGGCATGTCGATTTGGGTCAAATACATTTGTCTTCCCATTCTCTGTTCACCCGTTTCTTTGCTTTCCCAGTTACCTGAAGGGCCCAGTTAACAATTTCTGAATGCTAACAGAATTTCCTCATCGGAAGCACTTGAAAATACTGGCGGGCCAAGAGAACACGTGGATGTGCACGTTCGCTACAACCGCTGGCCCGCCTAGATGCACCTGTCACCTTCTCGGCTTCGGAGGGGAATTAGATCAAATTCCCCAAATGCTTTCCACCACTTCATGGTGAACTGTGGGTGGTAAGCGGCGCTCCCGCCTTCGCTGCGCTGTTTGGCCTGTGTTCAGTGACTTAGCGTCTCTGATCCTCCGTTGGTTTTCCCCGCTAAGCCTGTGGACTGCGCCCCGCCCCTAAGGAGGAAGAGTCCCGCCCCCATGCCCCTGACCCCGCCCCCCACTCCGAACCCCAGGCCGGCTGCTGCCCCTCCGCGCGCAGGGCGGGGAGCTTCCGGGCTCCCGGCACGGCGCCTTCTGGGAGTTGTAGTTCTCGGGAGAGGCGCGGGGGCCCGCGTTGTCCCGCCGCGCACGCGCAGTCCGCACCGGCCTGGCGCTGAGGCCCACCCGGGTGGTCGCGGCCGCGACCTGTCCGGCCGGCTTGTCCGAGCCACCGCGGGACCAGGGGCTACCGGGGTCCGCGCGGGCCGGCTAGGGCCGGAGACTGAGGAGAACCTGACCCGAGCCCACCGAGATCGAGGGTAGCCGCCCACAGCCTTCGGAGCTGGTGCTGGGAGGCGAGGGCATTGGTGTGTGGTGTGCGCGTGCGCGAGTGGGTGTGCGCGCGGGTGTGCGTGTCGGTGTGTCGCTGTACGTTCGTGGCTCCAGCGCGGTGTGCATGTGAGTCCCGCCCCGCCTGTCTCCGCGTGTCTGCACGTGCATCACTGCAGAACTTTGTGCGTGAGTCCGTCGCCGCATGTCACCGTGTGTTTGCGCCTGCGTGCCCCTGCAGGTGTGAGCCGTGCATGTGAGTCCGCCCCTGTGTGTTTGCGTGAGGGTGACCACCTCAGTGTGTGCCCTTGCAGGTGTGTAACTGTGGGTGCAACTCTGCATGTGAGTCCGCCCCCACACACGTCTGCCGGCAGGCGCCCGGTAAAGGGGGAGCGGCGAGCCTAAGTGAGCAGGTGTCTGCACTGCAAGACCCGTGCCCATGTGTGCCCGTGTGTGGAACCTGTTCTCCTGGGTGTGGAGTGTGTGACTCCATGTGTGTCTGGGAGCAGCGAGCCTAAGTGAGCAGGTGTCTGCACTGCAAGACCCGTGCCCATGTGTGCCCGTGTGTGGAACCTGTTCTCCTGGGTGTGGAGTGTGTGACTCCATGTGTGCCTGGGGGGGCTGCTGTCTGTAGTGTTTTTCAATGGGCGTGTCTGCCAGCCTGAGTGTGCCTGTGTCCTTCTGTGTGCCTAAACAGGACTGCAAGTGGAGGTCTGTGCAGGGGTCACAGGGGTGTAGGATACACTGCGCAAGCCTGGGGTCGCCGCACGGGCCAGACCCTGCACGTGTGTGACTGCGTGTGCCTGGGTGTCACTGTGGGTGGTGTCCCGGTGTACGGCCTGTCTGTGTGGAGCAGGGCGGCATGTGGGCTTCTGTGTGACTCCGTGTGTGTCCGCCTGTGAGTGTGTCTGCGTCTCCCCATTGGCTGCCTGTTTGTTTGCATGCCCGTGCCAGGACTACTCCGCCCTGAAGCCACAAACCCTCCCACACGCACCCAGAGGAAACGCCCTCTGCCCCAGCATCTTCCTTTACGGCTCCCATTTCTTTCTCTCACAGATGATGACTGGACCCACCAGTACATGGCAGCGAGAGCAGGGGCCCCAAGCTGAGTGACGTGGACAGGACCTGATGCTCCCAAGACCACGAGGTGGGTACCCCTGCCCTCTCTGGGGACACAGGCCTGAGGGCTGCCTGTGGAGACGGCACCAGAACTGGGCCTGGCCCAGCCTGCCTCCCACCAGCAACGTTCTCACTGCTGCACCCAAGACCCTGCTTGCTCTGACCCTCACCCCCACTATACCTGATCTCCCCTGCTACCTGCCTCGGTTGTTCTGCTCTACTCCCTCCCCCAATGCCCAGCACCTTTGCTTTTCCTCTGTCACCCCAGCCATGGTCCTGCTCAGGACCTTTGCTTCTGCTGCACTCATGGCCCAGAACGCTCGCTCCTTCACTTCTGGGTCTACACTCAGAAGTCTTCTCCCTGAGGCCTGGGCTCCGGGGAAGAACACTCCAGGCAAATTCAACAGCCAGTGCAAAGGCCCTGAGTCAGGAGCATGCCTGGAATGTTTGTGGAACAGGGGAGGCCCATGGTTGGAGCAGTGAACCTTTGCCACATGTTCATAATTCCTAACCCTCCCCTGTCTCATGCTCTATCTCATTCTCTCTCTCAAATAAATAAAATCTTAAAAAAAAAAAAAATAGATGGTTGAGTGCGCCTGTTTTTAACCTAAATAGCATCGTACCTGATCAATTCTTTGCATCTTACTTTGTTTGCCCACACTGTGTATCTGAGGTTCTGAGCTGGTACGGTGGCCGACAGGTGTTTGTGTTTATGCTGTGAGATACTCCACTGTATGAATATACCCCTGTTCATTGGACTGTTCCCATGTCCCTGGACAGCTGGATTGTCTTCTAGTATTTGGCTGTTACAATCTTGGACAAGCCTCCACGTACACCTGTGCGGTTTCTCCTGCTCACATTCCAGAAAATGTAATTATTGAGCTACAGGGGATGTGTGTCTTTAGCTTTCCTTGAAAATGCCAGTGGTTTGTCCAGTGCCTGGTCCCACCAGCAGTATATTATGCGTGGAGTTTGGGAGCTCCCTGTTCCTCTGTGTATGATTTTTCTCCAGCAGAGAAAACTCTCAGCTCAGACTGACATAACAAAGTACTACAGACTCCCATGTCTTCGACAGCAACAATTTACTCACAGTTTCGGAGGCTGGAAGTTCAGGATGAAGGCATCAGCGTAGTTGGGGTTCTGGTGAGGACCCTCTTCCCGGCTTGGAGATGGTCTCCTCACTGTGGAGAGAGGGAGCTCTGGTCTCTCTTCCTCTTATGAGGACACCAATCCCATCATGGGGGGGCCTCATTATCTCCCAAAGACCCCACCTGCAGACACCATCACTTCAGGCTTTGACCTATGAATTGGGGGGGGGAGGGGCGGGGAGGAGACCCATTCTAGCCTGTAGCACCAGGTTGCAAGGCTATATTTAAGAGCTGTCAGGGGCACCTGGGTGGCTCAGTTGGTTAAGCGTCTGCTTTCGGCTCGGGTCATGATCCCAGGGTGCTGGGATCCAGCCTGGAGTCTGGCTCCTTGCTCAGCTGGGAGCCCGCTTCTCCCTCTCCTCCCCGCTCGTGCTCTCTCTCTGTCTCTGTCACTCTCTCAAATAAATAAAATAAAATCTTTAAAAAAAAAAAAAAAGCTGCCAGAGTCCTGTTTTTGCAAGGATCTTTTAAAATTGTTTTCAGTTCTTTAAGTCAGAGATTCCCAGGGATCATTTTGCCCCCCAGGGGACGCTTGGAAATGTCTGGAGACACTTTTGGTGGTCACACGGTGGGGGCTGCTGCCTGTAATCCCTGACTGCAGGCCCAGGGGTGCTGCTGAACGCCCTACGGTGCACAGGACGGCCCACAACAAAGAGTGACCCGACCTCAACCGTCCGGAGTACGGAGGCTGAGACCCTGCACTGAGTCTTTGCCAGCCCAGGACAAACGACCAACCTGTTCGGTTTTTCTCTTTTCTTTCAGGGCCAGTCGAGAAGATGTGACAACAGGCAGTGGCTCAGGAAGCGGGCATGGAAGGACTCTCTCCCGAGGCCGCCCCCCGGGGCCCCGAGGCGGGAGAAACCTGGAAACAAGAGGGTCAGGGCAGGGACCGGCAGGAAAGCCAGGTAAGCTGCGTGAAGCAAGAGGCCGTGGCCCCCGGGGAAGACCCCGCCGGGGATGGCGTGCGGGCGCAGGACGGACTCGGCGGGACCCCGGGAAGCGGATCCAGCCCTCCCCGTACCCAAGCCGACAGCAGGCCCCCGAGGCGCGGGGCGCCGAGAAGGAACTCCAAGCAGAAGGCGGCCGACCCGGGTGAGGAGGAGGAGCGAGCGGGCGGCCCCAGGAAGCCGTGGACGTGTGGGGACTGCGGCAAGGCCTTCAGCTACTGCTCGGCATTCACCCTGCACCAAAGAACGCACACCGGGGAGAAGCCGTTCGCGTGCGCCGACTGCGGCAAGGCCTTCAGCCAGAGCGTGCACCTGACGCTGCACCGGCGCACGCACACGGGCGAGCGGCCCTACGCGTGCCCCGAGTGCGGCAAGGCCTTCAGCCAGGGCTCCTACCTGGCGTCGCACTGGCGCACGCACACGGGCGAGCGGCCGCACCGCTGCGCCGACTGTGGCAAGGCCTTCGCGCGCCCCACGCACCTGGCGCAGCACCGGCGCGTGCACACGGGCGAGCGGCCGTACGCGTGCGGCCAGTGCGCCAAGGCCTTCCGCAACCGCTCGTCCTTGCTGGAGCACCAGCGCATCCACACGGGCGAGAAGCCGTACGCGTGCGCGCAGTGCGACAAGGCCTTCCGCTTCTCCTCGGCGCTCGTCCGCCACCAGCGCACCCACACTGCCGAGCGGCCGTACGCCTGCGGCCAGTGCGCCAAGGCCTTCACGCAGATCGCGCACCTGGCGCAGCACCGGCGCGTGCACACGGGCGAGAAGCCCTACACCTGCCCCGAGTGCGGCGCGCCCTTCAGCCAGAGCGCCTCGCTCGCCGAGCACCGGCGCATCCACACGGGCGAGAAGCCGTACGCGTGCGCGCAGTGCGGCAAGGCCTTCACGCAGGTGTCGCACCTGAGCCAGCACCGGCGCGTGCACACGGGCGAGCGGCCCTACGCGTGCCAGGACTGCGGCCGCGCGTTCAGCAACCGCTCGCACCTCGTGCAGCACCACCTCGTGCACACGGGCGCCAAGCCCTACAAGTGCCTGGAGTGCGGGGTGGCCTTCAGCCACGTGTCCTCCCTCATCGAGCATCAGAAGATCCACACGGGCGAGCGGCCCTACGCGTGCCCCGAGTGCGGCAAGGCCTTCAGCCAGGGCTCCTCGCTCACGCTGCACCAGCGCACGCACACGGGCGAGCGGCCCTACGCGTGCCCCGAGTGCGGCAAGGCCTTCCGCAACCGCTCCTACCTGATCCAGCACCACATCGTGCACACCGGGGAGAAGCCCTTCGAGTGCGGCGGCTGTGGCAAGGCCTTCAGCTTCTCCTCCGCGCTCATCCGACACCAGCGAACGCACGCCGACAAGAGGCCCTACTCGTGCAGCCGGTGCGGCGACACCTTCACGCAGCTGCAGCACCTGACGCGACACCTGGGCTCCCACCGGGAGGAGAAGCCGGTAGGCAGCCGCGAGCCTGCAGACTTGGCCCCTGGCCTGCGGGAGGATGAGAGCTGACGTTCAACAGGGAAGTCTTCCGTAGCCGGGCAGCGCGCCCAGCGCTTTCACACCTCACTTCTTGCCTCGCGGCGCTGAGGGGAGAGCCCCTGGCCTCCCGGTGCTGCCCGCGAAGAACCCACGGCTCAGAGAAGCTCGGTGACGCGCCCAGGGTCCCACGGGGAGGAAGTCCCCGGGCCGGGACTCGACCCCACGTCTGCCAGACTGCACGCCCCCTTCCCCCCACGCACACCCCCTGCCTCCCGGTGCAGAATTATAAATGTGACCCACAACAGTAGCCCCAAAGAAGTGTCTGTGCGTCTCTAGCGAGCCTTGTAATGGTTGAAGGTTTTATGACAGTAGGTATTTGTTCAATAAATTTAATCGGATAAAAGGTTCGGCTCCTTTGGTGAAGTGGGTATATTGACTAAGGGAGCGAGGCCTGAAGGAGAAGTGTAGCTTCTTAGGACTGAAACAGTGCTTCCCAAATTAGAACGAGCCAGAGAAATGCAGAGAAGGACGAGTTCGAGAAGACACTTGGCTCTCCCCTGACAGACCTGCAAAGGGAGATTTTGAGAGTGGACCCCGGCCTTATTCAGTGTGAGGACACACTTTTCCCCTGCTCCAGCTTTCTCCCCCCACCCCCAAATCCTGCCTTTAATGGTCGTGTCAGCTTTTGCTGTGCAACAGTCATCCAGAGCTCAGTTGTCTGTTCAATATTTCCCACGGTGGGTGTTTCTCTTCGTCTGGACCAGGCCCAGGTGATCTTGGCTAGACTCGGTTATGCACCTGTGGTCAGCTGAGGTTCGGGTGCGGGCTGGCTGTCCCAGGACTGCTCAGCTGGGCCGACTTCACTGTCTTCCTCAAGACTCGCATCTAACCTGGGTATGCGCTCACAGCAGTAGCAGGAGTTTGGGAAAGTGGACCCACCCAAGCACAGTTTCAAGCCTCTGATAATGTCACGTTTGCTTCTGGACCTATCAGCCAAAGCAAGCATCATAGCCAAGCCTGGGGGCAGTGTAGGAAGGGCCTTCCCCATGGTGTGGGAGACAGACGAGAGTAGTTACCTACTATCCCAGTGAGGTAATTTATGGCCCTACAGCATGATCTCTACAAAATTATGTTATGGGTAACACATTTCTTGGGTCCACGGTTAGCAATTAAAAAAAAAACCCTACCCCTATACCCTACTCTATCCTCTGTACCCACCAAGTCCCCCTCCCTAGAAGCAACCATTCTTGAGTTTTCTGGTATCTTTCCAGCATGTTCTATGCATAGAGAAGCAAATATTTATGTGAATATTTGTTTAAAAAGATGCACAGCATACCTTCCTACACAATAGTAGCACATGGCACAGTTTCCCACCTCGTATTATTTTGTATTTGGAAGCACTTTTTATCATTAGAGAAGAGAAAAGATGTTCTCATTTCACAAAGTTTGGGCATCAGATTTCATAGGTATAGAATCACTTACAATTGTTTTGATCTCACTGTGATGTGTCCAGCTCCAGAAAAGAAAAAAAAAATCACGGAAAAATATTTTTCAATTAGGAATGTCTTTTTTACAAGGTTGACCAAAAAAACTGTCCTGTGTCATGGGACAACGTAAACCCCCCTCTGCATAAAAACAAACCCCCCACAGTAAAACATTTTTGTGAGATTTTTCAATTATACAAAAAAGTGTGAAGTACGATAAATGCCCATATGCCCATCCAATTTAAATGCCTTAAAAAATACTATTTTAATAGGACAGGAACACGATACCTAAAAATGTTTTCATAACAAAATCTACCATATTTTATGATACATATTTGCTTTTAAAATAGGTCATGAAGGGGCGCCTGGGTGGCTCAGTTGGTTAAGCGACTGCCTTCGGCTCAGGTCATGATCCTGGAGTCCCGGGATCGAGTTCCGCATCGGGCTCCCTGCTCGGCAGGGAGTCTGCTTCTCCCTCTGACCCTCCCCCGTGTTGTGTGTGCACTCTCTCTCTCTCATTCTCTCTCTCAAATAAATAAAATCTTAAAAAAAAATAGGTCATGAAAATATGCCTATGTTTTTTTCCTGGTCTATCTTAAGGTAAATTGCAGATATGATATCACTTTACTGCTAAATACCTTAGTTTGCATCTCTTTAAAAAAAAGTATCTTCTATACAACCACAATATTATCACACCCAGTAAAATATTAATTTCTTGATATCATCCAGTGTCTATTCCATATTCAGATTTCCTTGGCCCCTGAAAAAGTTTGAAAAAGGGATGTGATTTGTCAGAAAATAATGTCAAGCCTTGAAAATAAACATAAATTATCTTTAATGTGTATAAGGAGGAGGGAAGTTAAGACAGTGACACAGACACAAACAAAGTCCTCTGTCTTCCTGTCCACCAGCTTCCTTGGCTCTCCTACCAAGGAAGCTGGTGAGGGGCCAAGGAGGTCAGGGGGAGAAGCAGACTCCCCGCCGAGCAGGGAACCCGATGCGGGACTCGATCCTGGGACTCCAGGATCGTGACCTGAGCCGAAGGCAGTCGCTTAACCAACTGAGCCACCCAGGCGCCCCTTCATGACCTATCATCTGCACAGGCCTTGGCACCTAGTAGGTCCTCAGGAAATCTCACATGAATAGACAAATGAGTGAAAAATCCCTGACCTGCCTTACAGAGTCAAGACTCGTGTCTGAGTCTTCTCTGTGCTCCAGACATCACTCAGGCCTCAGCACAGAGTAGGTCCTCATGAAGTACTGGGTGACTAGTTGTACATCCCAGCATCAGCCCTGGAGTCATTCAGGGTCAGAGACCACACAGTTGGTTCCTTCCTGTACCCCAGACATCACCCAGCCCAAGCATCAGCACACAGTAAGTCCTTAGGAGATATAAATTAATAGGGCAGGGAAATTAATGAATAAGTGAATATCCTTCGCATCAGCCCTGGATCAGAGAGCATGCATCCTGGTTCCTTCCTGTGATCCAAACTCTCTAGCCCAAGCCTCATCACACAGTAGGTCCTTGAGAAGCTCTAGGTGATTGAATAATTGTACATACCAGCATCAGCCCTGGAGTCATTCAGATTCAGGGAGGACACAGCCCGTTCATCCCTATGCCTCAGACATCTCCCAACTCAGGTGTCAGCACACAGTAGGTCCTCAAGAAATACTGAGTGAATGAATAGTTGAACAACCCCAGCTCCAACCCTAGAGCCATTCAGAGTCATGGACCACACAGTCGGACTCCTCCTTCTGACCTTCGCCCAGCTCAGGTTCTCTGCGCACAGTAGGTGCTCAGAGAGTGCTGGGTGAATGGATGAATGAGTGGAATGGGACCCTTGTTAATAGACATGGGCCTGAGTTCCGTCACCGCAGAGGGCAGGGGAAACTGACCCTCTTCGGCCGGAACGGCTGCAAGTCGCTGGGCTAAGCGGAGAATGGGCGGGGCCGTGGGCGGGGCCGGCGTCAGGCCCTGGAGCCCTTCTGCCAAGACCTCAAGGAGAGCGGGCCGGGGGCGGTGCACCCGCGCTGGGGGCTCCCCTCGGAGTGCGCAGGCGCGTCCGCAGGAGCGGGGTCTCCACGTCGATTTGCGCCTCGCTGGTGCCCACGCTGCTCGGTGTTCATCTCGCGTGTCGGCCGTTTGGCCGGCTGTGCCCCCCAGCAGACCCGGGGGGTGAGCGTGTGCGCGACGAGGGTCGCAGCCCCGGAGCACAGGGCCGTCTGGGGCCCCTCCTGCTGCAGAAAGTGGCCCACGCGAGCGGTGCCCGGAGTCCACAGCAGTGGAGGAGCTGAGCCCCGGAGGGGCGCTGCGGAAGACACCTGTTTCAGAGCTTTCGAAATGCCCGATGAGGTGAGGAGGAAAAGGAATCGGCAAAGAGCACCGCAGCGCGGCCGGCCCGTCAGCCTCACACCACTCTCCTCCTTAGGGTTTTAGATTTGCCATATTTGCCAACTTATGTGACGCCCCCCCCGGGTTCCCCAGATACTATATACAGATACCACCCTGGGTCCGTTCCAGGAGGGGACAGAGCAGCTTCAAGCGCATGGGGGAGGGGGTCGGAAAGGGTTGGGGTCCCACCAGCTGGCGTGGAGAGAGTTCCTGGGAAATGCAGGCTGAACTCTCCCCTCCCCCAGCTCAACCTTCCCAGGACTCAGTTCCTCCAGGAGACCCGGCAGAGGGGGAGGACAGACCAGAACCTCATGAACCCATAGTGGTCAGGTGGTGATACAGGTTATGCAGACAGTGACCAGCGGAGGGAGGTGCCATTTGGGGACGGTGGGGGAGGCCTCTCTGAGGAGACGTTGGAGCAGAGCACTGCAGGAAGTGAGGGAGCCATGTCAGCTTCTGGGGGAAGAGCATTCCGGGCAGAGGTCCATTCCGGAGGCAGTGCAAAGGTCCGGAGGCAGGCGCATGATGGGCTTGTTCAAACAGCAGAAGGCCAGTGCGGATGCTATAAATTAAGCCAATTTCATCGCGAACTTTGGTGGTGTAACATGAATCACTAATTAATCACCAACGAGCTTAAGCTCATTTGAATTGAGCTTCTGTTATTTGCAACCAATAAATCCTAATGAATGTAAAAGCTGAGGCTTGTGTTTCTTTTAACGGACTGTTGTTGGCTCGTTGGATGCAATCGGCTGGCGGGAAGGATGGGGAGAGACAGAGTCCCATACTTCTCCCAGCCCTGATTTTTTGGCAAACTCAGGAGAGGCCACTGGAAGTCCTATTAAAACAAAATGATACAAAGAGTCTAAATACACACACGTGTACACACACACACACACACACACACAGATGAATTAAAAAAGAGCAGGATGGAAATATCAAACTCTATCAGACAAGGTAAAATAAAATCCAAAGGATTGAATTGATTTAAAGACAATCATTTTCTATTTCACAAAGGATTCAGAATCGGGTTTTAACTAACATTTATTGCGTGGCTACTGTGTGCTGGTATTGTGCTTGGCGTCTTGCATGTATTCTTTAATTGGCAAAGACAAAACAGTGCTGTAACTTACGTGCAGCAGATGACACAGTGGCTGAATACATAAAGCAAAGGTTACAAAAATATACTGACAAACACGGTCTTACGAACAGATTTTCACAGAACCTTATTGGGTTTTGACAGATAAGGCGAGCCAGAATTAAATAACACATGAATCTAAGCAATATAACTGATAAGACTGAGTTAATTAACAGACATGTAGAGTTTTGAATCCTAAAGACTGAAAATACATATTCACCTTAAATGTCCATAAAACACGTACAAACATTGGATGTGTTGTAGGCCACAATAAAAGCTTTTAAAAAGGTGTTGAAAGCAGATATATTAGAGGCCACATTTTTTTGTTCACAGTGCAGTAAATCATTAAAACAAAACTATTTTTAAATAAACCTGATCACTGAGTTTAAAGTACTCTTTATATTGTAGAAACACTACAATATAATATTTAGACAACAACATAAACAAGAATACAAAT